TAACTCCTTCTGTGTGTTCCTCCCAACAGGTACCTCCGGAGAGTGGTCAGCCATCCAACCATGCTGCAGGACCCGGACGTCAGGGAGTTCTTGGAAAAGGAGGAGGTCAGTAGTGTGGAATAAGGTAGCTCCAAGTTTCTTGGAAGTGCTGAAGGAAATGGTAGCTGAGCAGTTAAGGAGGCAGGATGTTGCAGAACTCCCCTGTTAGAGTGAGAATGGGAACTGGGATGATGGGTTGACAGCAGGTACCCACCAAAGCTGCTCCATCATCCCATCAGCTGGACACGGGGAGAAAATAAAATGAAAGGCTTATGGGTCAAGATAAGGGCAGGGAGAGATCAGTCAGCACTGATTTTACCTCAGGCAAAATGGAATCATGGAATGGCTTGGATTGGAAGGGACCTTAAAACTCATCTCATTCCCACCCCCTGCTATGGGCAGGGACAGCTTCCACTAGCCCAGGTTACCCCAAGCCCCATCCAACCTGACCTTGGACACTTCCAGGGATGGGGCAGCCACCGCTGCTCTGGGCAACCTGTGCCAGGACCTCACCACCCTCAAGGGTAAGGATTTCTCCCCAGTATCCCATCTAACCCTGCCCTCTGGCAGTGGAAAACCATTTCCCCTTGACCTGTCCCTCCAGGCTCTTGTCCCAAGTCCCTCTCCAGCTCTCTTGGAGCCCATTTAGGCTCAGGAAGGGGCTCTAAGGTCTCCCTGGAGCCTTCTCTTCTTCAGGCTGAACACCCCCAGCTCTTCAGCCTGTCTCCATCTCTTCATATCTCAAAGAAAATTTTTCCATTCCTTTCCAGCTCCCAAGAGCAGTAGGCACCCAGACTCTGAGTGGAGCAGGAATACTGAAGATGTTCAACAAAGCTACAGATGCTGTCAGTAAAATGACCATCAAGATGAATGAATCAGACATAGTAAGCCTTGGGACACCCTGGGTTGTCCCTGCCCTTGCTCCGGAGCCATGTGCCCTTCCCAACCCCAGCTTTGGGTGTGGGGTGCAGGGAAAGCCCACGTGTGGGAATCAACTGCGGATTTACCCTTTCCAGTGGTTCGAGGAGAAGCTGCAGGAGGTGGAGTGTGAGGACCAGCGACTGCGGAAGCTGCACGCGGTGGTGGAGACCCTTGTGAACCACCGGAAAGGTGACTGGGTCGGCACCACGCACTATGGGACTTGGGCTGTGACAGTCACACCCTGGGCAATGCCTGAGGGAGGTCAGCAGTGGTGGGTGTCCCAGGGACATTTCTGAGTCTTCATCACAGGAGACAGAAGTAAAAATGTCACCCCAGTTCTTCTGTCCAACTCCACAAGCTTGGGATGGCAGTGTGGAAGGGAACCCATGTCTTACAGGATCACAGAATCCCAGAATAGTCTGGGTTGGAAGGGACCTTAAAGCTCATTTCATTCCATCCCTCTGCCCTGGGCAGGGACACCTTCCACTATCCCAGGTTGCTCCAAGCCCTGTCCAGTCTGGCCATCAATGCTTCCAGGGATGGGGCAGCCAGAGCTTCTCTGACCAACCTAGGCCAGGGCCTCTCCACCCTCACAGGGAAAAATTTCTTCCCAATATCTCATCTAACCCTGCCCTCTGGCAGTGGCAAGCCATTCCCCCTTGGCCTGTTCCTCCAGGCCCTTGTCCAAAGTCCCTCTCCAGCTCTCCTGGAGCCCCTTTAGGCATTGGAAAGGGCTCTCAGGTCTCCCTGGAGCCTTCTCTTCCCCAGGCTGAACAGTCCCAATTCCCTCAGCCTTTCCTCATGGGAATGAAGGCTGCTGTAGCAAGCCTGAACAGAGCTGATCTTATTTACTCCTTCCCAGCCATCCTCTGACAGGGAGTAGGGATGTTTTCCTTCCTCTGCATGTTTTGTCTGACTCCTGCAAAGCTGTTCCTGTCCCCCTGCTTGGCTGCTTCCCTTCTCCTTGTGGCTGGAAGCTGCTGGCTCTGACCCAGCCAGTGTTGGCCCTTCCAGCTGATGTCTCCTGGGACTTAGCTCCTTGGGCTGAACCCTGGGCTGGGGAGCACCCAGTGCAGCCCAGCCCATCTCCTGACTCTCATCCCTTTTCTAGAGCTGGCATTGAACACAGCCCAGTTTGCCAAGAGTTTGGCCATGCTGGGAAGCTCGGAGGACAACACGGCCCTGTCCCGAGCGCTGTCCCAGCTGGCTGAGGTGGAAGAGAAGATTGAACAGCTGCACCATGAACAGGCCAACAATGACTTCTTCCTCCTGGCTGAGCTCCTGGGGGACTACATCCGCCTGCTCTCGGTTGTGAGGGTAAGCAATGCTCCTGCTCCTCGTACCCAGCTTAGGCTTAGGAATGCCAGGAGGTCTTCCAAACTCAAGCAGAGGGCACGCATGGCACGGCTTCTCCAGGAACAGGGAAACTTGTTGGTTGTCCAGGTGAGCATGTATTTAGGTTGGAAAATTGTTGTAAGTGAGGCTTGGTCATGCTGCTGTTCTACAGGGGGAATGTGGAGCAAGTTCACAGCTTGTAAGTGGCCTCAACCCTTCCAGAGGTGAAGACTGAGGCTGTGAGCTGATGACTTGCGATCTGGGTGGTGCAGATAGACCTGCCAAGAGCCTTAGTCTTCAAGTCTGGTGCTCTGGCATTGTTGCTGGAGGCTTAAAGAAGCAAATCCCAAGAGAGCAGCAAGTCTTGCAGGCTGAGCCCTTCTCGCCCCAAACACATCCTGCCTCTGAGCAGGAGTTTCTGGAGGCTACAGAGGCCAGGACACAGCCTCCCTTGTCTACCAGTCCATACTGGGATCTGTGAATGCTCCAGAGCAGGATACAGTCTGTGTTCTGGCTCAGCTTTGGTCCAGCACCTGAGGTATCCCCTTGGCAAGTGTCTCCTTGCCAGCAGAGCCCCTTGGAGCTGCTCAGGCAGCACAGAGCTCAACCTCTGCCCCCTCCTTGCCTCCAGGGAGCCTTTGACCAGCGCATGAAGACCTGGCAGCGGTGGCAGGATGCCCAGACCATGCTGCAGAAGAAGAGGGAGGTGGAGGCCAGACTGCTGTGGGCCAACAAACCTGACAAGCTACAGCAGGCCAAGGAGGAGATCTCAGAGGTAGGGAATGAGGAGCATGGGATTTCTGCTCTGCTTCTGGCCTCCATGCTCCAGCAGGGGACCTTCTGGGCTGGGGAAGGGATCGTTGGGGCTGGGGAGGACCTCCTGAGCAGGAGGGACAGATGTATATGGCCAAGCTACAACAAGGGATAAGCCAGCCTTGAGTCCTACCCAGCCTTCATGGTCCCCCCTCCCGTGACTTCCCTGCTGAGCTTCCTGTGGTGAAGAGGACCGGGAACACCAGGCTCTGCCTCAGCAACACCTCTCGCACATCCAGTCATGGCTACAAACACCCTTGGAGATGGGAGCAGGAGTTCCTTCCCCTGCCCTGAAACAGCACACTTCCTCTCTCCACAGTGGGAGTCCCGTGTGACACAGTATGAAAGGGACTTTGAGCGCATTTCTGCTGTCATCCGCAAGGAAGTGATACGGTTTGAGGTATGTTTGGGGCAGCCCTCGACTGGGAACGCCAGCCTGGGTCAGCCATGGGGCACCTGGGTATCCAGCAGTATCCATAAATCCAGACACATGAGCTAGGGCATTGCTGAGGGCTTTTGGCTGAGGAGGCTTCTCCACGGCGTATCTGTTCAAAGGAAGGTGGATGGGCAGAGATCCTCCGTGTCCCAGGCCCTTGTGCGGGTCCTCTTGTGAAGCCGCAGGAGGAACAGGAAAATCCTGGCAGTTCCCCTTTCCAGAGGGTTTTGGTGGTTGGTTCAGCCTCGTGCTTGTCTCTTGCAGAAAGAGAAATCCAAGGACTTCAGAAACCACGTCACGAAATACCTTGAGACATTGTTAAACTCTCAGCAACAGGTGAGTGGCCCTGTTTATGTGGTTTTACCTCCAAGTTCAGGCTCAGGTTGTGAACCCCTCAAGTGTCCCCCCCCCCCCACTGCAGGTGCGTCCTCAAGGTTCCTGACTTTCTCCTTCTCTTGTCCCTGCAGCTGGTGAAGTACTGGGAAGCGTTCCTGCCTGAAGCCAAGGCCATTTCGTAATCGGACCGAGCGAACAAACCTGAATTTTGCCTTTTTTTTTTTTTTTTTTTTTTAAATTTATATATACACTATACCTCCTCCTCTTTTCCACGTGAGCGACTCCTCGTTCCACACGCTGGAGCTGGTAGAGGTGTCACCCCCAGACAAGCAGCTTGTGAGCCAGTAACTCTTCTAACTGTATATTTTTCATTTAGCAGCATATATTTTCTTACTGAAGAAAAACTAGTTTCCTGCTTCCAGACCAGACCCGCAGCCAGGGGGTTATCAAGATCTGGCAAATGTCTATTTTTCAGGCTGGGTTTTAGGGCTCTAATGATTTATCTTACTCCTGCAGTGCCATTAAAATTCTGTAATAAAACTTCTATCAGGGCAAACATGTTCTGAGTGTTGGGAGTGGGTGCAGGGAGGGCTAACAGCATGTTCTGTAGGGTTTGAGGGAGGCAGCAGAGCCTCTCCCCCGTGCTGTGTCAGGGACAGGGGTGACCTTGGACACTGCCCTGGCCACCTGTCCCTGCTCCTGATTAGGCTTTGGCTCTCTGCCATTCTCCCAGTGGGAGCCGTTTTTAGGATCTGAGCTCATCAGGGGCTGTGTAGCGGTTCCACTTTGTGGCATTCCCAAAAAACAAAGGGAAACCTTTGGGGCTGTGATGCTCAGGGTCAGGTTTGTACCTTCAACCTCTCCCCAGCCCCCCTACGTGTGGATTTTACCAAAACCGATACCCCTTCTGCCTTAAAAAAGGGAAAACGCAGCTTGGTCTGACTTCCCACTTCCTTTTCCCATATCCCTCTAAATCGGCGTCCTTGCCGCTCCTCTATTCTCCCCCGCCCTTTCCCCTGTGCTGGATGTGGGGTCGCAGGACCCTCCCCGGGGTGCTTTGGGGACCGTCTCCCCGCCGTGGGCGCTCGGGGCGGTCCCGCCCCGTCTCTTCCCCGCCCCGCGGCCCCCCCGCGCCATGATCGCCGTCTCCATCCCCGCGGCGGAGCCCCCGGCGGCTTCGCGCAGCCCCGACAGGGCACACACGGTGAGCGGGGACTCGGGGGGTGGAGGTTTGGCTGCCCACGGGCGTCCCCATCTGCCCGGGGAGGGGGGAGGTGTCTCGCTCTGCACCGGGGTCTGGAGGCCCCCGGTTGTCCCCGAGGGTTCCCCATCTGCCTCGGGTGTGGAGGTCTCTGCGTGTCCCCAGGGGTCCTTGCCGGTGGAGGGGGGGGGGCTAGTTCGGGGGTCCCCTGTTGAGAGGTTCTCGTCTCTCCCGGCATAGCCCCACGTGCCCTGGGACTGGATTCGCCCGCGCTCCGGGGCATTTGTCTCCTGCTCCAGGGTTTGAAGGTCTCCGAGTGTCCCCAGGGGTTCCCCACCTGCCCCAGGAGTGGAGGCCCCTGCGTGTGGGGGGCACAGACCCTCTACCTTTGAAAGGGGGAGTGGTGTCCCTGGTCTGGGAGTGCCCTCTGCCCCCCGTGAATGGGGGTTACCGTCTGTCCGGGGAGGGTAGATGGGAATGTCTTCCTCTGCCCCAGGGGCTGGAAGTCCCCAAGCGTCCCCAGGAGTGTCCTACCTGCCCCAGGGGTCCCTGCTGGTTGGGGAAGGGGGGTGGGGGTGGTCCAGGGATCCCCTATTGGAGAAGTCCCCGTCTCTCCCGACATGCCTCCGCCTGCTCTGGGACTGGAGGTCCTCAAGTTCCCACAGGAAACCCCACTTATTCCAGGGAAATGTTTGTTACCCACTGCCCCAGGGTCTGGAGGTCCCCAAGTGTTCCCTGAGGAGTCTTCACCTGCCCCAGGGGCCAGAGGTCTCTGCCTGTGCTGAGTCCCTGCCTTAGGCACCATCTGCCCTTGAAATTGGGGGTGTTTCTCTACCCTGGGGATCATCTCTGGTGCCAGAGGGATGAGAGGGTCCATGTCTGTCCCCGGGTACCCCCATCTGCCCCGGTGGTGGGATGTCACCAAGTGCCACCCCTCCCCAGCAGGATGTCCCCAAATGCCCAGGAGTGGCAGTCAGGGAATCCCTGCCGGGTGGGGGTGTAGGGGGAATGACGCCGACCCTCTGCCCCTGGAAGGGATGGGGAAGGAGTATCCCTGGTGAGAGTGTGCCCCCTCTATTCTTGGGGGAAGTTCTTGTCACCCCCCTCTGCCCTTGGGGTGTGGGTGTGTCCTTCCCCCACGTGTCTTGGGGCAGGGTGGTCCCTGCCAGTGCACTCTCTACCCCTGAAACATGGGGTCCATGGCCCAAGGGGTCCCCTCTGTCCCCAGGGGGTAGCTGGGTGTCCCCATCTGCCCTTGGGGATGATGATCCTGGGGCAGGGAGGGAAAGGTCCCCCTTTGCTCAGGAGGTTGGATGTCTCCCCTGTCCCCAGGGTGTCTCCCTGCCTGAGGAGTCCCCGTGCACCCCAGGGGGTGGAAGTTCCCAGCTGCCTGTCTGGTCCTTGCTGGAGGGGGTCACTGAGGTGTCCCTGTCCTGGAGGGTCACCAGAGATTGAGGTCCCTGCCTGGGGACGCTCTGTGTTTGAAAGGGGGGAATTCCTGCTGTCCCTTGGTGGTGGTGGTGGTGGTGTCTCCTGTTGGCTCCCGGTTGCCTCTGTTTCCCCCACAGAGGGTTCCCATTGGCTGGGGGGAGGGGGTTCATCTCCATCTATCCCAGGACTGGGATTCCCTGCGACCCTGAGGATGGTGAGGGCAATAAGGATAGTTAAGATGATGAGGACAATGAGGATGGTGAGGATGATGGGGATGGTGAGGATGATGAGGATGTTGAGAATGATGAAGATGAGGCTGGTGAGGATGAGGCTGATGAGGTCTGTCCCCGTCAGGTGTTCCAGGTGGAGGTGCTGTGCAATGGCCGGCGGCACACAGTGACCAAGCGCTACAGTGAGTTCCAGGCGCTACACAAGCGGGTGAGACCCACCGCCTCTGCTGGAAGGGGACACAGGGAGGGGACACAAGGAGGCTCGTCCTTGTCCTCCCTGGCCCGTACTGCTCTGATACCCTCCACACTCCCCCCCAGATCAAGAAGACCTGCAAGGTGCCTGACTTCCCCCCGCGCCATGTCCCCCACTGGATGCCCAAAGCACTGGAGCAGCGCCGGCAGGGCCTGGAGCTCTACCTGCGGGTGAGGTGCGCACAGCGGTGGGGTAGGGTGGGCTTTTCGGGGTGCTGACCTGTCCTGGGCCACGGTAGGGTGTTCTGTACCACAACAAGGAGCTGCCCCAGGATGTGCTGGACTTCCTGAAGGTACGGCGGTGCCAGCAGGACCCCAAGGCCAGCAGCCCCTCGTGAGTAGATGAGTTCTTCTGGCACCAGGGTTATCCCATACAGCACTGGGATCATCCCCCTGACATGTTTTAAGTACCCCAAGACACAGGGTTGGGGACAATGGGGACAGGCTGGGGGCTGATATCTCCTCTCCCATGGCAGCAGACTCCTGCCTTCCCAGCGCCCTGTCATCAGCTTCTGCTCCGATCCATATGTGGGGCCATGCGACACTGGTAAGGAGCAGGACCATGGAGGTCCCATCCAAAAGGCTCTTCTGGGGCCCTAAAAGACGTTTTTCCTTTAACGGGGCTCAGGAGGGAACCAGCTGCTCCAGCTCCCTCCTCTCCTTGCAGACCTGCTCCCCAACACAGTCCTCACCGGGGTCCTGCAGGGCCTTTACCTCCCCCTGAGCTGCACCCCCTGCCAGGCAGTGCCTTGAGCCCCTGGAATGCCAGGCTCCTGGGCACCCACGCAGCTCCCAGGGCTGCAGTGGTGAGGAAAGGAATCCTGTGGTGAAAACGACTCCTTCACACTGGACTGGGGCAGGAAAACAGTGGGAGAACCCAAGGGGACAGTGGGAATCACAGCTGCTCTCCCACCACCATCCCAAGTGCCTTGTCTGGGAGAGTAGGAGCTATGCCTTCTCCCTAATATTTTGGGGTTGTGGTTGCAGCCTTTGGATGCTGAACCGTGCTGGAAAACCCCTCTGCATCTGGGATTTGGTGCAATAAATCTCTTGGATTTCATTGCCTGGTAAAGTGGTGCGCTGTGGAATTCTGCGAAGCAAACCTGGGTCCAACTGTGGCACTGCTCCTAGCTGGATAGGACACAGAAGGGGGATGGAAAGCTGAGGGATGCACACAGGTGAGAGAGATGGAAAGGGATTCGTGCCCTCCCCTGAAAGCAGGAGAGAGGCGGCTTTTTAAAAAACACATTGGTCACATTTATTGGAGCATGTGCTTCTTACAAAAGTGATGGAAGAGGAGCCCATGCCCTGTCCCCCTGGCTGGGAGAGGGGCCCGGGCAATGGGACACAGCAGGACCCAGTGGCTGCTCCCCCACCCCGGGAGCAGGGCAGCCCCAGGCCAGTGGCCCCTCACGCCCCAGCAGGTCCCCGGTGCCAGCCCTGCCACCCCTGCTGGTCCCTCACTCTTTGGCGATTGCGAAGGGCTTCTCCACCTCGATGGTGCCACAGTCAACGATGGCAACATCTTTCAGGGGCTTGTCCCGGCTGTCGGTCTTTGTATTCTCCACCTTCCGCACTACGTCCTGGGTGGAGCAGAGGTGTGAGGGGGACACAGGCAGAGCCAGCTTGGCCAACCCCTGTCCCTCTCGAAGTGCCTCCCAGCCCATTCGCCTGCCCAGTCCCGCTCTCCCTGGCCCCCTTTTCCCCTGGCCTCTCACCATGCCCTCCAACACTTTGCCAAACACCACGTGCTTCCCGTCCAGCCAGGGAGTCTTCACGGTGGTGATGAAGAACTGGGAGCCGTTGGTGTCCTTGCCGGCATTGGCCATGCTCACCCAGCCCGGCCCATAGTGCTTCAGCTTGAAGTTCTCATCAGGGAAACGGTCCCCATAGATGCTTTTTCCTACGGGTGGGGACAAAAAGGCAGCATTGGGGTGGAGGTGACAATGGTGGTGGAGGAGATGATGGTGGTGGGGGAATGAGCACTTCCAGAGTGGGGATTAACAAACACCAACGCCAGAGAGAACCATGAGCTATGGGCTGCTGGAGGGAGCTGGAAGCACCCCATGAGCTGGGCAGGGAGGGTCATGCCCCCGAGGACCAGAGCAGGAGGCTCCCAGCACCTCCGTTACCCCAGCACCCAGCTCTGCTCTGAGGCCAGGTCTCCATGCGCACTTATTCCTGCATTGCTCCAGCTCCACACTGGTCCCAGGGCAGACAGGCAGGTGTTGGGAACGTGGCTGCTGCTTCACTCCCAGACAGTGGTTGGATCCACAAGCTGGCGTGGGCCAAGTTACCTCCAGTGCCATCGCCACGGGTGAAGTCTCCTCCTTGGATCATGAAGTCCTTGATCACACGGTGGAACTTGCTGCCCTTGAAGCCAAATCCTTTCTGGAGGTGAGAAGGAAGAACATGGAGTGAGGCAAAGCGATGGCCCAGAGCTCCCTGCACCCAGCACTGCCCCAGGGGCAGGTGAGGCCCAGGGGGCCGCGGGCCCCTCACCTCTCCGGTGGCCAACGCCACAAAGTTCTCCACTGTCTTTGGCACTGTTTTGCCAAAGAGCCCAATGACAACGCGGCCCACGTCCTCCTCACCGATCCGCAGGTCGAAGAACACCTTGAGGGGTGCAGGAAGGTTACGGGGGCACCAGGGGAGCCACCCTCACCTTGTTGGGCCAACCCTCCTCCCAAAAGCCCCACTCACCCAGTCCAACCAGGCCCAAAATCTCACTGGGTCCGATCTCCCCCGCCTCCCTGCCTGCATCCCCTTGCTCCACAATCTCAGCTGGGCCCCCCCAACACAGGCCTTCAGCCCAGGCCTCTCCCACCCCATCCAGGTCCCCCTCACTCCACATTCCTTCCTCCCCACTCCAAGCTGAGCCTCCCCCACCTCAGCTTCCTCCGAGCTGGACCAAACTGCCCCTAGGCCTCCTCCCCCATCCTAGGTGTCAAAGACTCCCCCATCCCAGGAGTCTGCCCCTCCCAAGCCCTCCTCCCTCAAGGCCTCCCACCACACCCTCCCCTCCCCTCCATCCGGGCTCCCTCAGCCCCAGACCCCCCTCAGCCCTTCCAGGCCCCCCTCACCCCAACAACTCCGTCCAGGCCTCCCCCGCCCCATTCGCGTCCCCCGCGCCGGCCCCGGCCCGGCCCCCCCGACCTTGGCGGTGACCTTGGGCCCCTTCTTGCGCTCGTCGGCGCGGGAGGCCGCGGGCAGCAGGAGCAGGAGGGCCGCGCCCAGCGCCGCCGCCGCCACCAGCACCTTCATCCTGCGCCGCTCGCAGCTCGGCCACAGCGCCCGCCGCGCCGCCGGCATCCGGCCACGCCCGCCTCGCACCCCCACCAGCGCCGCGCGGTGGTATCGCCCACGCTGCCGCCCGCCCGCTCCGCCCGCCTGGGCGCGACCAACGGCGGCAGCGAGGGGGGGGCAGGCGGCGCCTTCCGGCCGGGCGAGGCGCGGGCGGCTGCCACGTTGCCCCTCGCTGGGCGGCCGCGGCGCTGTCAATCAAGAGAAGACTGGTGCGATGATTGGACGTCGTAGGGGAGGAGGCGGGAGAGGGGTGGAGCCGAGGGATGTCGGCGGCCAATGGGTGCGGCCGTAGGGGGGCGGGGCCAGTGGGCGGGGCCGGTGTGTCCCGCTGCCCACCCCGAGGCCCGCGAATCGCCCTGGGCTGCTGTTCCCAAGGCCGCTGTGTTCGGTGTCTCCCGGGCCCGTTGTGCCCCCGGTGTCAGCAGGTCCCTTGTCCCCAGCGGGCAGGGGGACACTGAGCAGCCAAAGCAAAGCAGTGTTCGGTCCCGCCGGGAGGCCGAGTCGAGCCAAATGGCTGCGAGTCAGTGTCAGTGAACAGAACGGCGTTATAAAGATGCCACCCGAGAGCCAAACAGCACCTTTGGAGCAGCTGTCACTGTCCCCACACAGGGAGAGCACTTGAACAAAAAAAAAAGTCCGTGCTTGGAACCTGCTCCGCACTGCGATCGCTCTTGGGACACTTTCCCCCCCACTTCCTAGCCCTAAATGTAGCTTTTTAAGTATGAGCTCTCATTGCCTGTTCCCAAAACTTGTTTTTTGGGATACGTGTGCTCTGACAAGGAGACGAACCTTAAGCATCTCCTCCCTACCCCGTAGAACCTGTGACTTCACCTTTGAGGTTTGTCTTTTGGGGGACTGACACTGACTCACAGCTGACACTAAATAAAAACGTAATCCCCACATATTCAACTAACTCCAGGATTTGTAATCACAGATTGGTTTTGGGTTGAAAGGACCTTCAAAAGTCCAACCCCTGCCATTGGGCAGGGACGTCTTCAGTGATGTATGTATGGCCAGTCTCTTCGCGAACGAAGAACCGGGGAAGGTCTTTACACCTTCCAGCCTGCACATTGGATTTTTTAGGTGAGACACGGAACTGAGCCCACCCTTTAATCCTGAGGTTCATCTGCCGGGGCCAAGCACGCTTGGATGGTGGCAGTGGTGCTAAGTGCAACACCGCAGTCACTCCCGTGTGCTTCCAGCCTGGTCATCTTGCTATTTAAGAGGAATTTGGGCTTCTCTCACTCCCTTTTTCAGTTTTTATCCCACAGCCTGACCCACTCTTCAGTCTTGCCAGGGGAAGAGGCGAGGCGAGCAGGTCCCAGCACACCTTTCCCCGTGGTGCCTCTCAAGGGCTGCCCCAGGACAAGGCAGGACAGCTGGGAATGTGCAGGCACAGGGAGAAGGGAAAGCAGTGCTACCATGCCTTGGCAAAGCTCTGTGGGGCCAAACCATCCAGGGCTCAACACAAAGTTGTTTAGAAGGTCCTGCCAGGTCCCACCCCGCACACTGTCCCCTCCAGGGAGGGCTCAGTGTCCAGTGGAGCCAAAGGAAAACAAAACACAAGCGCCATGCTCTCAGGCTGAGGTAATAAATACATCTATTCATGGAGAACAATGCAGCAGTGCAATGTTTTATTGAAAAAAAAATAATAATCATCTCACTTGATACCTCAGAAGACTGCATCGCAACGTTGGCGGGCTGAGCCACAGAGAAACACGTTGGAGACCAGCCCAGCCCCCAGGGAGCCCCCGGAGAGACCCCTCCCCTTCAACCCCAGGGTTTCCCTGCTCTGACTGCTCCGGGCAAGGAGAGGAGGGTTTGCCCAGGTTAATGCCCTGCGTCCTACCACAGCATGGCTGGCTCAGTCTGGCTGCATCTCCTCGTGACCTCCGAGCTCCCTGGGGACAGCGGTTCCTTCAAGAACGGGACTTGCTGTTAACCTGTTTTATTTGCCTTTTTTTTTTTAATTTTTTGTTAAAAAGCCACCCCACATCTTTGCCCTTTTTTTTTGAAGAGTCCAACGTACGATTATAGTGCAAGAGGGCTTGGTACAAGTGAGCATTACCAGCATGCCGTGGGGGGACAGTCCTCCCCTACAAACACATCATTGTAGGATTAAAAGAACATCTTATCTCCGGAGAGAAGCCGTAGTGGGTCACCATGAAACAGTTTTCAAACCAACCCACTTAAAACCAAGGTCAGGAAAGTTTCTAAACAATCAAATACATTCACTTTAAAAAAACAAAACAAAACAAAAAAACCCAAAAAACTGAAACAAAAGAAACCAAAAACATTTAAGAACAAAACCTGTTGAGATGGCCCCTTTCCCCCCCGCCCTCCCTCACCCTGCAAACACATATGCTGCAACTACAAGCTGCTCCTTGAGTGGAGGCAGCGAGGAATGACCAAACACGGCAGGAGATGCAGAAGGAATCGAGTTCTGGTGACAGGCACTTAGTGGGGCTTGGGAGGGCAGCAACAGAAGTGTCTCAGGGCCTGGCTCTGTCTGCAGCAGGCAGGGCAGCTCCCGAGGAGCATCCATGCCCCTGGACCCCCCCTCCTAAGACACCAAACCACGGTTTCCTACAGCAGAGAGGGGAATGCCTGTGCCAGAGACACGGGGCTCCTGGGAGCCCCTGGCAGCGGAGGAGTTCGGGAAGAGAAAGGTGGAATGTGGCCACAGTCCCTGTCCTTCCTCTGGCAGAAGGGGACGAGAGGGTGAATGTCCTGGCAGGAGGTGAGGGGTTCCCTTCCTGCCTCCTT